GAGACTCCACAACCTCTCTGGGTAGCCTTTTCCAGCACTTTACACTACCTTCCTAGTGAGAAAGTTTTTCCCAATATTCAACCTCAACTTCCCTTGCTGCAGCTGGAGCCCATTGCTCCTTGTCCTGTCATCTGCTACCACTGAGAACAGTCCAGCTCCATCCTCTTTGCAACCACTCTGCAGGAAGCTGACAGCTGCTATCAAATCCCCTCTCAGTCTCCTCTTCTCCAGGCTAAATAAGCCCATTTTCCCTCAACTTCTCCACATAAGTTACGTGCCCCAGCTCCCAAACCATGTTCATGCAGGGAGAGAATCAGACCACAGCAGAATCCAGACCCCATTCTGATAAGGTCAGGGTCAGATCTGATGTAGATCTGAACTAAGATGACTCCACTGATATTGATTTCCCCCTTCCATGGGACTGGGCTCAGGTGTGCATCCCAGGGGGTCAGGAGAAGCAAACTGTGTTTCTAAGGGGGCCCACAGATGCATCTGAATCAGGAACTGTGGGTCAGGTCAATCTAATTGCATCTAACCGCCAGCTTCTAAAGCAAAAACTCCTTCCGCCCAGATAACACCCCCCTCCAATGCACCACCCTCCTTTGCTCCATCAAGGACAGAGGGAGGTCACGCATGCCTGCACAGGCAGGGCTCCTGCCCGCTCTGCTGGGAATGCTGCCTGAGTGTCGGATGTGCAGCACTCCAGCAGACCCCGGGCCTAACAGATCTGGCAGGCTGCCTGCAGCTGCAGTCAGCTCTTCCCCCTTGGTGAGTCACAGTGCACCTGCTGGGGAAGCGTGCGTGTGCGTGTGTAGATCTGATCCTGGATCCAAAGTTTGTGTGCCTCCAGATCTGATCCTGTATCTAAAGTGTGCATGTGTAGATCTGATCCTACATCCAAAGTGTGTGTGCAGATCTGATCCTGTATCTGAAGTGTGTGTGTGTAGATCTGATCCTGTATCCATAGTGTGTGTACGTGTGCACACGCATATGTGTTCAAAAGAACTGCCATTTACTGGGTCAGACCATAGGCCCATTTTACCCTCTCTCCTGTATCCCACCATGGCAAAGAGCAGATGTTTAAAAGAAGCAACCTGGGTCTGAGCAGGGTGTTTCCCCGTTCCTCTTTCCCTTCCAGCCTCCAGCAGTGAAGGTCCAGGAATGTTTGCCATTATTGACTCCAAGATGAACATGGGCCGACAATGCG